GACTGGGACAGCCAATTGTTTTACTGTTTTCAGATATTTTACTCTAAATTTGATTCATCAATGTAATAATGGGCAGATTAATGAATAAATGGATAGGTCTTCAAAGGAAATACATTGAAAATGTAGATGTGCTGATCCGTGCCTGTGTGTACCTGAGATCAATGTGTGTCAGCTGTAGTAAATTGCCGATGTCAGGAGAACAGCAGGTCAGTCTGTTGAAACCCAGGTTGATGTCTGACAGCGAAGACTGGAACTCCACCAGTCTGCAAACAGCAAACAGTTTGGTTAGTCTGAGAGTAATCCTTATAAAAACGATACAGTCTTTAGCCTCTGTCACACAGGGATAATGCATGTAATTGTATGTACCTGGGAGGAATGGAAGTCAGCTGGTTCTTGCTGAAGTTGACCGTGGCAACACCTTGATGTGCTGCAGCATCAAACAGCTCATCTGGAATACTGCCTGCCTGCTTGTCACTAAACACAAACACATGCAAATTTAGACTTGAGTTATTCTACATTTTACGTAACCAAAGTGTAGAAAATTAATTTAATCTCTTAAATATAAAGCAACATTTGGATACAAGTGCTGAATCAAACTACAGTAATGTGAATGTCAATGTGTGCTGAGGCCAGTAGTGTTTATTATCCACCTATAATCTAATAATTGGTTGAATTTATTACAACTTGTTTTAATTTTAAAACAGTCAAGCTAACACTGTACCACAGCCGCTACTGAGATGGGAACACAGTGACACCTCTAAGAGAATTTTGATAAGTCAAGAAATATATGTGCAGTCACATGGTCAGACAAGGTAACACAGTTTATGATGATCATTAAAACCCACATGAAAGGGAGGTCACACAGTAACACCTGAAATTAACCTAATAACTGCTAAGGAAGATTTGTCTGATCTGATTATGACTTTAAAGGTTATGGGTATCAAGTACAAAACTGTAAGTAGTCGTTAACAAGTTCAGAGAAGCCAAGCGCATAGAACCTGCCAACAGCTCAACCCTGAACAGTGACATAGTGTCCGGAATGGATGGGGGTCTCATTTCACCAAATGTCCCATGCCTGACCACCTTCAATTTGACTGATATTTTTCTAAAGTGGTGAATAGTGATTGAGTCTACCATGTGTAAAATCTGGGGTCATAGGTAACATTAGCTGTTGAGTTATGAAAGAGTTATATAACATTGTTACTGGGCTAAATTACAAAAATGAGTTTTACGTAATAGTCCTTCAAATAATTTTATGAAAAGTTGTACCACAAGCAATCACATCCATGTGATATTAGATTTATTTTTTGCTTGAAATATGCAGTGAAACAATACTTGATACAACATGATGAAATAGTGGTTCACAATTTACATCATACTGTACACGTGTAATAAGCAACATGGAAATCAATCTTGCACAAAGAGGCAGTGAACAGGGAAATCCATTGTCCACAAATAACTGGGCGTGACCTACTTTAAACAGAGGTTTAATGCTGACATGAAATGAAATGAATGAAAAATACTTTATTCATCCCAGAAGGGAAATTCAATAATAATACTATTAATAATTATTAATAATAATAATCAATAATAAATTCAACAAATACATCAGTGCACCACATACTATTGCTACCAAGTTTCCCAGCACAATGTTTCTATGTGACTAACTCTTTGTTAACAAGGTTATGATGAATTTAAACAGATGTTGATAAAGAAATTCAAATCAAGTAAAAATATCTATGTCTGACATATAGATAATAAAGATCAATGGAATTGCTCATGGTACCACTTTGTATTAAAAGAAAAATCATGGCTTCCCAACTCACAGTCCTTCAAATAATTTTATGAAAAGTGGTTAAATAGATTTAAAATTTGGTGAATTGAGGTAGAATGGCACATGGATGAAATTAAGAGCCATGTTTATCAACCAAGAACTGGTTTGACCAAATTAACACCTTGCAAGTTGTAATTTGCATCACAAAATTATTTGCTTTTATTCATGTTGACAAATATCACAAATCCAGAAAATAAGCATAGTCATGAACCCTGCATATACATTCAAGGGTGTTGCAGAACTCACATCTATCTGGTCTAAGGCTGCAAGGTAGTTTGTTTTTCCTTGATATATATAGTGAAATTTAAAAATAAGGCATTTTTATCAGATGACTTGAATAACTCCAGTTGTAAAGAAATTATCATTCTAGACTGACTGAGGTATTTTTGTAGGGCATTGCATCTGCATTAAAAAAAATGAAAAAAAATAAGCTGTGAAGACAGTTTTTAATGCAAACCATCTGGAACCATCTTCATATAGTGCAACAATGGTAAAAACATCCAAAATAGTTTCTTGCTTTGGACGGCATTCAGCTCTATCTATGTGTCCATCGTACAAAATTTGGTGATGCAGATTTTAACTATAAAACTAAACAGTCATGTTTCCCTGCGTGGTGGCAACGACTGCAAGACACTGCTGACAGAGTTCCTGTTTTTGGTCAACAGTATCCTTTCTGTCGCTGAAGCATTTCCATATAACTGGTGTTGTTTCTTTTTGCAACCAAATTATACTGTTCAGCATTTCTTTCCTGTTCTTCAGTCACTGGCTGTGTACAGGTGGAGCCAGAATGTCAAACAGTGTCTTTTAAATAAAGTTCTAAAAACTCAGTATGGCTAAAAACACATAAATTTGACTAATTATGTTCTATCAAACAGAATTCTCTTGTAGTTTAAATATGGAAAATCAGAACTGTACGAGTTTTCTTTTTGCAGCAGCACTTTTTGTGATGCGACTACTCAACATTTGCACATCGCAGAAATTATATATTGTACAGCCGTAATCAGCATTTGGTGTAGAAGCGTTGCTCACAGTTTTTGTGAAATAGGCTCTTTCTGCCCCAGGGGGTTCAATATTTCTTGACGCTAAAATTCACCGTTCTCCACTGACAAAATTAACTAACCTGAGAACAGTCGGCTTTTTCAAACCCTATGACAAGATTAAGATGGCAGCTTCATGAGAAGCTAATAATAATTACACAAAATAAATGTATTATGTTTGAGTACATAACTGTCAAGTGTAACACCATGCTCTGATAAAGGCTTCTATTCAAAATGTTCAACTTATTTGTCTGCCTATTGACTGCAAACACATATATCCAAAAGACTAACATGACAATTTTTGACCTGTGGAGGCTTATTTTGACACTACGTTTAGAAAATACTAACCTGTACGCCAATACCTTGAGAGTTTGAATGTTATGCACATTGACCATAGCCTGGCTGGGTAATGTCATCGCTGTATGTCCTTCTTCTGCTTTCTCAGGCTCCTCTAAAACACACAACACACACACACACCACACACCATATTTAGACCACGAGATGAAACCAGTACAGCTAGGAGATTCATGCAGAGTAGTAGACTCACAAAGTCAGTACAGTCTACAGATTTTAAGCGCTATGAGATGACTTGTTGTTGTAAATATGCGCTATACAAATAAAATTGAATTGAATTGAATTGAATAGATTTTAGGGCTGAAACGATTTTAAAGCTTGAAATTAAAAAAGTATGACATGGCGAAGATTTCTGTGAAGGTGTATTTACTTTTACTCTACATGCGATGCCCCGGGGGTACCTTGTGTCCCATTTAATCCATGCCTGGACTCAGATAAGCTCAAAAAATAGATTTTTGCTAAAAATTGATGTTATGATGTCTCTTGAGAGCCAAATCTATTAACTAATGTTAATGTCTCCTTCTTGCATAAAAAAGATAGACCTTTGTCAAAAACATCTCAGACTTTTTATGCTAGGGAAAATTTTTTTTTGTTTTTTTAAAAAAACTTTTCAAGGCAAACAGATATTCTGATTTAGTGGCACAGTGTATTAACTGGTGGTCCCATTATGTGTTGGCCTCCTGAGAACAAGCAACATTGATCTGCAACTACAGATCCAAACAAAGCATCATCATAAAGCAACACTGAGCATACTACTTTGCAGAAGCAGGTCAGCTGGTGGTTTATTACAGGGAGGAGAAATTAATAATGCTAAACTGGTTCTCACTACTTTTGTCAATGGTTAAATTTACAAAGGGAATTAAGAAAACCCTAAAGCTTCACCATACATTAGGAAACAGTGTGTGTATCATCTTTACTCAAGATCTGCTTACTAGCATTTGACTTTATTGATCATTCTCTGGCCATCCACCAAATCCTGGTTGATGCTGTGAGGAGTTTTGGTCTGTGCTTAGAGACAGCAGATGTTTTCCGTTTCCTATATTCATTCAATTTCAGATTTAATTTCAAAGTGATGAATTAAGAGACATGGATACCGTTCTAAGATGGAGGCCCCTTTCAATGAAAGGTGCTGCTCACATGCATAGAGGAAAAAAAGGCTTTCAGCCTTTGTCTGCTATGACAGTTGCAATCAGAATAACACTATTGTTCATTTCAAGGCAGTGATGGTGAATCGCAGAGTACACATTTTTAATGGAAGCGTTTCAGCTCTTTAGGTACAGCATTTAAAACAATTTCCAGTAAGAACAAAAAGTGAACTCTACCTTTAATTCTTCCTTTTAAATATTTCAGAAGTTCATTGGTTCCTTTCTGTGATGCAGACAACAGACAAGATGAGTAAGCAGTTAATATGAATGATCTCTTCTACTGAAGTGTAGGTGAAGATTACCGTGGTAACATGTCAGAGATTAATATACATAGCACTATTTCTGAACTTTCTAAGGCAGCATCTGTACCATTATCGTTTCTGGTTTCCATCCACTAAAAAGCGGTATACTATAAATGACTGTAATAATGTGATTTGTGGCAAAAAGTCAAATGCTAATTTTTAGATGAATAGCTGTATGGACAGGAGACCACAATGTTTACTTGCAAATATGTTGAATCTACTACTTTGGCTACCATATAAACACTTGAGTCTTTAACTCTTGTCTCTCCCTGTTATTGAGCTGGAGAAGGTAAGGCACAGAGACCTGGTACATTAAAGAAATATTTTTGTATTTTGTATTTGTACTTAATTAAAATGAGATGTTTAAGATTTGTTTTCAATTTAACATAAACACCTAGATAAAATTTAGACACTTATAAAAAAGCAAAGCACAACTGTGTCGAGCAGTGTATTAATGTGTTAATGTTTGTACAGGCTGAGCAACCATTCTTCATATTTGTCCTTGCTTCTTACATTTGTTTTACCATGCACACTTGTGTTTGCATTTCCAATGTGTCACCTACGGTGAGAAGGTCTCTCCTGATTCCTCGTAGGGGGTTTCCCTCCAACAGCAATACCTTCAGATTGGGCAGTAGGCTGAGAGTCGCTGGAAGACTGACAGAGATAGATTCCAATTCATTTGAAAATCTACTGGTAGACATTTTCTCAAAACATACCTGCCAACATCTCTTGTAGAAGAATCAACAGTGTTAAATGTAAGTATAAACTGAAAGTTGAACAAATGTTAGGAATATATCACTTAGCATCAAGAGATATTAAAAATTTGGATAATTACAAAAAAAAGTGTCATAGCATATTTGAAACTTACATATACTGTATAAAAAGACATCTAACCTTTTTTCTCACTGTCTGACATGAAATCAGGCTAAACTTTTCCTGTTTTAGGTCAGTTAGGGTTACCAAAATTATTTATATTTGCTTAATGCCAGAATAATGAGAGAGAAAAAATTTTTGGGACATTTTTTTTTATTACTTTCTTCAAAGTCAGAAGTTTACATACACTAGGACGCCTTCCAATTCAACTGTTTGGCCATAACGACCATTGTTACATTTTAAGGAAAAAGGGGGAAGCATACAAGCCTGAGAACACCATCCCAACTGTGAAGTACAGGGATGGCAGCATCATGTTGTGGGGGTGTTTTGCTGCAGGAGGGACTGGTGCTCGCACAAAGTAGATGGCATAATTGGGAAAGAACATTATATGGAAATACTGGAGCAGCATCTCAAGACATTAGGTAGGAAGTTAAAGCTTGGATGCAAATGGATCTTTCAAATAGACAATGACCTTAAGCATACTGCCAAATTAGTTCCAAAGTGGCTTAAGGACAACAAAGTCATGTTCTGGAGTGGCCACCACAAAGCCCTGATCTCAAGCCTGCAGAAAATTTGTGGGCAGAGCTGAAAAGGTGTGTGTGAGCAAAGTGGCCAACAAACCGGACTCAGTTCCACCAGTTCTGTCAGGAGGAATGGGCCAAAATTCAAGAAAACTATTGTGAGAAGCTTATGGAAGGAAACCCAAAATGTTTGACCCAAGTCAAACAGTTTAAAGTCAACGCTACTAAATACTAAGGAAATGTATGTAAACTTCTGACTTTCAATAAAGTAATAAAAAAATATATATCAAAAAAGAAATTCTCTGTCTTATTAATCTGGCATTAAGCAAATAGAAATCCTTTTGGTAAACCAAACTGACCTAAAACAGGAAAGGTTTAGTTTGATTTAATGTCAGATAGTGAGAAAAAAAAAGGTTACGTGTCTTTTTATACCGTCTATATAAACTTCTGGTTTCAACTATAAGTGTGTTCTTGGAGCAATCCCTGTGATCAGTGAAGATTAGAGTGTGCAAATAGCGGACGTTATGCTTGCTACACACTGGATAGTTCAATCATGTGTTCAATACTTATGGGCATGAACAGTTTGCTGCTATAGGAGAGCATGGTGTCATAACGACTTACGTGGCAATGTCATTGTTGGTGAGGTCGAGACGTGTGAGTGTGCTCAGTAACGTGATCTGTTCAGGGAGGATTTTGATTTTGTTGTCTCTGAGTTCTAGCAGGGATATGGCTGTCAGGCTCGCCAGCTCCTCTGTCTCCAACTTCTCAATTAGGTTGTTTCCAACATACAACTCCTAAACACATACGCACGCACACGAAACAAAAATTAGAAATAAACAAATTATTTTCTGATGCTCCCATTCAATCTTACAAAACTATACTAAACTGTAAAAACAACACAAAGGTCAGGAAATGTGGTCATGACTGGATCAGCATTACTCACCATAAATGAGCATTATATCAGGGCAACTCTTATGCTGCTGTGGTTACCTTAAGTGCAGGTGTGGGGAGCTGTGGGAGGTGCCGGAGCTTGTTGTGTCTAAGGTAAAGTTGCTCTAGTGAGAGCATCTTTGATAGGCTGGCAGAAATGTCAGTCAGTTGGTTACTGCTGCAGTCCAAGAGCTTAACATCTGCAAAAATCAAGATTCAAGAATAAGAGTTATTTCACTATTTGTAGTTTCACACTTTGAAAAGTGGCCATGTAAAGAAACACAGAAACTGTATAGCTAGTCTTACTTGTGAGCTCTGCTAGGCTGTCAGGCAGAGAATGAAGCTTGTTGTGACAGAGGATTACTTTCTGCAGACTGGTGAGACAGCCAAGACTGGAGGGCAGGTCCTTCAGATTGTTGTTGGACAGGTCCTTTAGTCAATCACAACAGATAAGACACTTCAATCAGTCAATCACACAACACAGTAGAAAGGGCCACATACAGTATACAACAGAAGTGAGGACACCCCTGTGCAATATTATTTGAATGTTGAATGATTGAAACTGCATCACCTCTGACATTATTAAAACTGCATTATTTGTAGGTGGAACAGCACACTACAAGGTGTGTCAGAGAAGTTTTAGGACTGGTGTCACAAAAGATATATTTAAAATCCAAACTACAGGTTTTCCCCTTCGACGTAATCCCCCTGGAGTCTAATGCACTTCCCCAGCCTTCTCTGCCACACTGCCATGCACTCCTGGAAGGATTCTTCTGGGATCCTCTGCAGCTCCGTCGTCACAGCCATCTTGATGTTGTCCACATCTTCATAACAGGTCCCCTTGATGATCCCCTTGAGCTTGGGTAAGAGGAAAAAATCCAACAGAGCCAGGTGAGGTGAGTAGGGAGGTTGCTCCAGCACGGCAATGTTCTTCTCAACCAGGAACTATCGGATGCTCAGGGCATTGTGAGCAGGCATGTTGTCATGGTGAAGCAGCCACGACTTGTCCTGCCACAACTCTTGCCTCTTCTCGCGCACTGAACGAAGCAAACGCCACAGGATCTCTTTGTAGATGTGCTGGATAATTGTCTGAAGGGGAAAACTCGTAGTTTGTGTTTAAAATATATCTTTTGTGACACCAGTCCTGGAACTTTTCTGACACACCTCGTATTTCATCTTATGAACAATCAAAAACAAATACTTTAGAAAGTCCACATGGAAACCACAGGTTCCAAAGTAGAAACTTGATACAAAAAAAGTGAGTAGATGTGTGGTCCCTGACATACAAGTTGGAAAACTTGTGTCACTGAAATTAAGACTGTAGCGGGCGAATATTCGAATATCAAAATTGCTATCTGGATACCACCACAACGACTGGATATCCAGACATCTGGATATCTGGATATTCGGTACCTAAATACCGACTGACGCAATGACTTCCAGTCTGCAGAAGCTTGACAGAAAAGGAATATACCAGTATGACAATCATTCAAAGCACAAAATCACACAAGAGTTTCTAAAGAAGAACTAAGCTAAAAATGTGACCTAGAAGAGAATGTTGTCTGATTTGAATCCAACACAACACCTTTGGGGTATTTTTAAAAGAAAAGTAGAACAACACAACCTCTCCAGAGAAGAGCAGCCGAAAAATAATTATCTCTAAAGACACAAAACATCTCTCCAGAAATGTGTGGACTCTGGTATCCTTCATGCTGAGGACGATTGAGTTTGTTATCAAAAATAAAGGTGGACATACAAAATATACAAAAAAAAACCAAAAACAAAAGACGTGAATCTCAGTAATGGAGGTTGTATTGACTGTTGTTGTATTCAGTTCCTACTGTGGGACCTGTATTTTTAATATATTAAATCTGAACAGTTTTTGATTTGACATAAGACCTAACAGCAATGCAATTACCCTAAGTGACACAATTCAGCATCACTTGACATTTCAATGATATTGCACAGTAGTGTACTCAATTGTGTTGTATACTGTAGTATGATACCCTGCACTGCATAAATTACTTGTTAGTTACCAGCGCTGTCAGGTTCTCTAGTTGTCCCAGTTCCTCTGGCAGGCTTTCCAGGAGATTGTGCTGCAACGTGAGGCTACAAAGGTTCCTCAGAGTAAATATCTCCACTGGCAGTGATGACAGCTGATTATGACTGGCCACATAGAACAAACACAAAATAGGTTTTAATTTATTCTACAATCAGTGGAAATATTTTTCATTCATTTTTTTCCTCAGTGGTCAGTCAAACTCAGGACTTAATATCATAAGATAAGTCTTTATATTTCCTGCAGCAGAGACATGTGCAGTGTTATACCAGAAATGGTTATTGTGAAAATGTGTTGGTAACATCAATAAAATAAAATAAAATAAAATAAAATAAAATAAACAAGAATACTGTCCCAGTTTTGAGGTGATGAACTGGAAATCTAAGGGGATTTATCTAATCAGTTAGGTGAAACTAGATGCTGTGCCATTAAGTGGTGCATTTTGGCAAATCCCCACTGACGAAAAATTAAAGTTAACATGTCATGGTGAAAAAAATGATGATTGGTTGTACTAGGTGCTAAAGTAATTCTTCTGATTTTCATGAGTGAACACTCTGTGCACAACAAAAAAATGTAAAAAATTGTGAAGGCTTATTGTGAATGGATTTGAACTGCGATTCTTGCCTCCCCCCATGGCCATTGCACTATGCAATCGAACAGTATTTCAATTTCTATTATTGCAATTAATTCTCAATATAAAAAAATGCAAGAGACTCTCTTACACATTATGTGTTTCCAGTTCACTGAGCAGCTGGGAACAGTGGGTGCTTTGAAAACCAAACACATGTAAAAGGTTCTGTTTTCCCTCCACGCTCTTTTTGATTAAAACGTTTCTATGTCTTTCTCTCTCTTAAGAATTCTCAACAAAGTTTTTTTTTTTTCCATCTATTTGACTTATGCACAAAGCAAAAATATGTATAACGGTGAGGAAAATGCAGTGTGTGCCTCTACCTGAGTCGCAGTTCCTGCAGCTCCTGCAGCTCTCCTAAAGCACTGGGTAAACTGCTCAAGTGGTTGTCATGGAGCTGCAAAAACAAAATAACATTATTGTTTAGCACCTAATTAGGGTAAAAAATAAAATAAAATAAAATAAATCCGGATTGTGGTAAATAAAAGGATGCCTCAAAACTATTTTCATCAATATCTAGATGTAATTAAATATACTCTGTTTACTCAGTCAGTTTGTAACTTCATACATAGCAGGTTCTTAATGAGGTAGGTTAAGATTTTGTTACACTGGCTCTGTATCAGTTTATTCCAGACTGCTGTTATTTTGGCTTTACCAAAAATCTCCCATTCAAATTAGCATCCCTTTCTTAACCATTTCAGATTGCTTTGGTTTTTCCAGTTTCATTTTCAACGGACACTCTTCTAAGAGATGCTGTAGTAACTTATGACAGACATGACAATTTGCTGTACATCTGAATCAACAATTCTTCCCACAGTACAAAGACAAACTGAGGTTAACTGGTGATTCTAAATTGTCTGTAGGTGTGAATGTGAGAGTGCTTGGTTGTCTGTCTCACTGTGTGACCCTGTGATGGACTGGGTGTCCCCTGCCTTTGCCCTAAGTCAGCTGGGATTGGCACCAGCCCCCCAGTGACCCTACCGAAGATAAAGCGGCGTATAGATAATGGATTTGAATCAACAAAACTACCATACATGAACTGGAAAAAAGACACCTTATACTAGGTTGGGGGGAAAAAAAAAACGAGGAGTCCAACAGTAGTGGGGAAAACTGAGGCTGTGAAGTATTTCTGAATTGTCTTTTTAGACACATAACATTATCTATGAAACAATTATAGTATCTGTAACTGAAGAAAAGTGTTGATCTGTTAGAAAAGTAATAGTAAACCACATGCACAATGTTACTTACATCAAGTGTAATCAGTCCAGGCAGCAGTTTGATGTCTTCCGACAATTGTGTAAGTTGATTGGATGAGAGCAGCAGTTTTGTGAGATCAGTCTGTTCCCACCAGCGATCTGATTCTCCAAAGGACACATCCTGCTGGGCCTCCTCTGGTGTGTCAATGCTGAGACGATACACACTCTGAGGGACTGAGCCACATGTTATCACAGTTATTACCTGCATACAATAACATAACCATAACCATAATCATGATTCATGATTCATGACACACACACACACACACACACACACACACACACACACACACACACACACACACACACACACACACACACACAAAGAGGGTTATTTTAGTTGCTTCATTAGAAGCAATGCTGGCTATTTCTGACTGAGATTTCAAACACTGACGCCACTGCCGGTCCTTTTATGCATCTGTTTCTGATGGGAAAAAAATACCACTGAAATAACTTGTTAATGTAATATTGTAGTCTCTGCTGCCATTTATTGTTTTCAATTCAATTCATCAAAGTAGAATAAAAAGCAATTTTAGAGAATCAGAGTTTCAGTGACGGCATTCTGCCATTTAGCCCCTTTCCCACTTATCTGTTAATGTTTCTCACTGCTGCATACATAGACCACCCCTATTGCTGGAGAGTGCAGCGGTTCGCACACAATATTTGTCATTCACATGAGACTAGTCAATATACCAAGTCACACATAAAACATAATAATGCAATAACAGACTAAAACTAAACTAATAGCAGCTAATCAAAGTGTCAAGATAACTAACAGCCCAGTTTATTTCTGATTTCCTAGACAGTGAAACTTGAAAGTCTCAGACTCAACCTGAAGACTGCTGCGATGTGACAAAACTTTTACCTGCGATGTGACAAAACTTTTACAGGTCTGAGGTAAACAAAAGTTCACAGTTGCTGTTACATTCTGATTGGGCCTTTCTTCATGTTCAGATAATCCGCAGTGAACCCTGATTAATGAAGTAACTCCTGTTGCTCTATGTGTAAATGCATGTAGCACTTTCTTTAGAGACACTTGTAGATCCCACTGCTGTCTGATGCAAAAAGTTTGTAATAAACTATGAAAAAATAGTCCTAAACAGCTGGAAACTCAACTGCCATTCTGTGTGCGATAGCTCACCTGTCTAATGGAAAGACAAATAGACCTTCTGTTGGATCCTGGTCTATTTGCAGCATTGACAATATGGACATGTTACCAAATGAGATCGCTCTTAAAGTAACCACCAAAATATGGCATTGGCTAGCACAGTAACGATGAAACCACGTCATTGCAACATAACTGGCTGTAGCTGGAAAAACTACTATCACAGAGACAGAATTTTCAGTATTAAAATCATAATCTATGGCTGTTTTGGCTATGGGTGAACTTTTTCAACTAAAAGTACTCTACAAACAATTTCTTCTCCTGAGCTATATTGAGCAGTGGTCACTCAAATAACCTAAATTTTAATTGTACCGTCATTAGTTACACAAATGTACACATGTATAAGCACATCAGATAATCAGTAACATGCTTTTCAGCAAACTAATGAAAGTCTCACATGTTCCCACAGTGTGTCTCTCCATTTTTTCAGCTCAAAATACTGCAAAGATGGTTAATTTCTCTATGACTATGTGACCTCTTGTTTTGGCTCTCTTCTAAATTAGCTGTTTTACTCTGAAAAACAATAAGTTGCTGCTGTCCTCTGTCTGTTTCTCTAAGTGATCATTTAGCATGGAAGTATCACTGAACTGTTTTGAACTTGTGTGGTGAGTTTGTCAGACAATGTTGGGGGTTGTAAAATCAGTAGTTTAGCATTGCAATGCAGCAGCTTGGAATTGCTCTGTAGTGACAGCTGGATTATATGTAGTCTTAACGGGCTGTGTTTCAGTCACTACTGCACACTCACTCTGTTGTCTGACAAATTAAAAATATGTAAATGAGAACAGCTTCATTGGGAATTCAGCTGTAATGAAATGTTTGTAATGTACAGACAAAAAAGATGGAAACAAATGTAAACACCAGCTGAATATAGGGTGCTCTGAAGCTCCAGAGATGACATAAAAAACAATAACCGGCCTATTCCTTGTTTATTGGTTTCAAATGAAAGTATCCATCATCTGTGAATGCCCCTCAGTGTCACAGTTTCCACAGTGACATAGTGTCATATATCAAAGCTAATGTTTACGTTAGCCACGTTAGCTGCACGCTGTGGTGACACTAATTGTGGTATTATGGTGACGGCTCAAAAAACAAAGGAATCACTGGGTGTTCAGTTACTCAGATGGGGGTGCACGAAGACTTTTGTGTTTCCTTTTGTAGATAACAACAAAACATTTGACGTGTTTTACTTGTGACTGAGACATTTTTGGATTAGCAGAAGCAGCTCCAGAAATCTGGAAGCAGTGGGCAGTAAAGTGAGTTTGAGCTAGACAGCTATTGGTTAGTTAGGTAGTAGCTGTTTATCACGACTACAAAACAATATTCAAAAACAGTCTAGTTTGACGTGCTTTAACAACTTAAATAGCAACGTGCAGTTAAATTACGTTTTAAGTTTAGCTTAGGAAAGAAATTAGTTTTTTTTGTTTCTTTTACGAGCCTGACGAAGCTTTACATCCACATATTTTGAACCGCACTAACCAAACGTCTGGCCTTCTGGTTTGTGTCGGAGGAGAAAAGTACCTGTAGGAACAGTATGAGCTGCTGCGCTGTGAGCTAGCAAACAGTGAACGTTACCCTCAGTCAGCCCTCGGCCACACAGGTTCAGCTGCCCGCTTTTCCTCGCTGCCTTCAGCAGACCGTAAGGAACAGTCGGTTCTGGGTTCTCCCTCCTGAAGCCCGCCAGAGAGTCCCCCTTATTCACTCGTTTGAACCGAGACATTGCTCGCGTGATATCAGAATCCACCCTTGCAGCACTGACACGCTGATGTTTCCCTCCACACCCAAACCGTCCGCCGGCAACCGAACAACTCTGCTGTGCAAAGTCCTTCACAATAAAAGTGTTGTTATGCAACCCAACCGCAATGAAAACCCTCTTCTTCTTCTTCCCAGCACAGCGTCTGCTCTGATTTAAGAATAAACCCATATACTAGCCATACACTCATGTTAACGTTGACACATTCAAAAACAATATTGTGAAGGTTACTGAGCATATCCGGGAGTTGGTTAGCTGTTACAAGTTTGTAGTGAGTACTATTTTTCTTCATTTTTGGCATTCTCTTATTCTTTTTATTATTTTATTCATCTTCTTGAATTCATTTAGCACACTTTATTGCACTATCTTTGATGCTTTGGAAATATTGTTATCCTGATATTAATTCTAATAAAGCAAACTTAATCGTTCAGCTGAATTGCACTGAAATGAATTAAATTTGATTGTGGTGACTTTTGGTAGTGGAGAGCACAGAGTCTCTTATCTGGACATGTCAATGGCAAAATGGCTCCACAGCACCCCCTAGAAAATTTTAACGGACTCCTGTCAGAAGCTGGTTTGGCCTAGAGCTACGAAATTTGGTAGGCCTATGGAGCAGGCAGGTTGGTACTCACAAAAAAAGTTGACCACCACTAAGCTCTAAAATGGAAAATGGCTGAACAGCGCCCCCTAGAAAATTTCACAGGAGTCCCATCTAGGCTATGTTTTACTTAGCACGACGAAATTCGGTACACATATGTAGCAGGTCGGGGCGCACAAAAAACTCCATTAGAACTTTTCTGTAAACCCAACAGGAACTCCACCATTTTGAAAAAACTGCGAGAATTATGGGCCATTTTCGACCACTCTCAAAATGTATTGGGCGGAAGTCGTAAAAAATTTGGCCAGCACAAACTACAAGACATGGTGATTAAAAGTTACTCAAGCTCTCCACAGAAGTCTGACAGCATGGAAATGCCGGCCTGCGCAATTTACATGAGAGGCCATTTTGCACATTTTTGTTGTGTTTCCGGCATTTAACGGAGTCCTGTCAGAGGGCCGTTTCACCTAGACCTACAAAATTTGGTGGGCATGTGTAGCAGGTTGGGACGCACAAAAAAGTCAATCAGCGCCAAGCCCTAAATTTAACAGGAAGTCCACTATTTTGAAAAAACATGGTGAGAATTTTGGCCATTTTCAAAATCTATTTCCACCTAGGAGGAACATCGCACACACTTGAAATTTAACCAGCACAAACTACAGGACATGGGGATTAATGATTGTCACTTTGCCTGGAGTGCAAAGTGCAAAGATGGGTGTCACGTCCGACATGCGTGGAAGTGCGAGGGCTCGTCCAACGCTGCTTGCAGCTTTAATTTTATATTAATTTTCTTTTTTTTTCTTTGATCTGAAACAACTTAAGTGTTGTGAATATCAGGATAAAATGATACACTGTATACAGGTGCACATCACTTATAGGTCCAAGCAGTGAAACCTGTAAAAACCTGTACAAAACATCTGATTTTTCATCAACTTTGTTTTGTTGGATTTTAGTGTGCTTAAACACTCAAAGAGCCATTTGGACCACAGGAGCCACAAAAAACTTTTGACATCTAAAGTGAAGATTTTATCCAAAACGACGTACATCTGAAATCAGATGCAACACAAGCAAGGACCTAGTCAGGAGAAAACGATCTGGATAGGGCCATAGAACAAGTTTAAGTGTGATAGAGCGTCCCCCCGTGTATCCACTTCAAAATCCTTCTGATCACCTACAAAGCTCTCCACAACCTGTCTCCCCCCTTACCCGAACTCCTACACTGCCATACTCCCACCTGCACCCTCCGATCAGTGGACGCTAGCCTTCTGTCCACTCCCATCTGGACCAAATACTGGAGTGGGGTGACAGGGCGTTCTCCATTGCCGCTCCGACCCTCTGGAACTCACTCCCCATTAGCATCAGAGAATCCCCCTCACTCTTCATATTCAAGACATCCATAAAGACATATCTTTTCAACACTGCCTACAACTCATAATTCATAGTATTGCTATTATTATTATTATTATTATTATTATTATTATTATTATTATTATTATGCTTTCTGATGGAATTTGATTTGCCATTGGTCAGCTGCTCATCCAAGTCAATCATTGCTGTCTCAGAAGGAGAGCTTCTCGGCCTCCGTCATCTTCTTCAACAGGAGAACCCATTTGTTTCTTTAAGGAACAGATACAAATAACTGTTAAATACTACAACAACTAAAAAACATGGTGGGTGTTTCTGCATTCAAACCAGTCCAATTCAGTTCAGTTTACTTCAATTTTATTTATATAGCAGCAATTCAAAACATTTATTATCTCATCATCATCCTAAACTCAAACATAATTTATAAAGTTTTGGATTCCCTTCAAGCAAGCCCTTAGCAACAGTGGGAAGAAGAAATCTCCCCTTTACCAGGAATGAAATACCTTACATGATGCACAACATTCAGACTATAACAGTTATTCAGGGACAATATTAGCAACAATCTGAAACAATCTGATCTGTTTACTATTACTGTGCAGCATACAAGTATATATGAACTGATTGAAAATCGCTGATGACGAATTCCAAAGATCACACACCCAGATTGCTGTGACAATATCCCTGTGGACTGCGAACTTTGACCACAACAACAGGTGGCTATGAGCGTGTTTCTTCGCACTTCAGCTGAATTGAAGGTCCAGTCCCAGTGTACTGCATTGACTCAACCTGGTCTGTCACAGTCAGGATGAAACTACTTCTGTTTTGTACGCTGCTGCTGTGTGCTACTTGCTGCTCAGCTAACAAAGGTAAAACTTTTCTATTGTCTTCCCTCTATTAATACATACATATTAAGTTATGTGTGTTTTTGTATTTCCTCTTCAGGTAAGAAACAAGGCTGTTAAAATTCTTCTTTAAGGAAGCTCTTGCTCAAAGTTTCTTTGTAGATCTAAAAATTGTTTTTCGAGGGCATCACTGCAAAGAACCATCTTTGACTTCTGTTGCCATCTTTATCACAATGTGACTACTGTTTGCCTTCAACATAGCTAACAAAAAAAAGTACATTTCAAACAGTTCACACCTCTCGCCACAAGCAAAGGAAATGGACCCACAGCAGAATACAAAGGGTCAAATTGCAGTGTAGTTATTTGTTGTCTGATGAATATTTGTTAGTTTCTGCTATATTTAACAGTAAATCAGTCTTAAAGTGCAGAGGTCATAACACATCAACAAATTTAAATCTCGTCCACAGCTGTCAACTAGAAAAACTAGAAAAACAGATGCTTCTTAAGAGCTGAGAAATAGTGTAATCACAGTGTAATAACAAACAATATGTATAAATCGAACTACTGTGTTGTATTAGAGATGAAGGCTTTTGCCCTCCACACTGTCCACTGACAATTTAGATGATGAAAAATTAATCTTAACTGTTCTGGTCAGGGGAAGTAGTTTTTGGTGTTGAGCACGTGGGCAGTGGTTGTTGTTAGGCTACATCTCTGGGAAAAGGAAGGAATGTAAGTCAAAATAATGTCTTGTGAAGTGACTGAAACGTGACTCTTCAGGTGTGCGGACCCATGCTCGAGCAGCGAAAGGATCCAAGTCAGTGACTCTTCAGCCCTGGTTGATCGGTCTCACTGCTGTTGTTGGTTTCCTCATCATTGTCTTTGCTGTCCTGATCATTCACAGACTACTAAAGAGGAGCAGGTTAATTTTACACACATACATTCATACCCTGACACATGAACTTATTGCTCACTATAGCCACTTTCCCACTTCTGTGTCAATAAACAAAAACCAAACATTAAAAAAGTGTGGTTGCAGCAGGCTATAATGCAACATTTAATGTATTGACAATGAATAAAAGTGTTATGCCTTTCTGTAGTGAACAGAAGAGAGTTTCAAAATGTATAAATTCTGAATAGTGTATTACAGTTGGTTCCAACATGTGTCCTTTTGTCAAATTTATTTATTCATTTTCACAGGGACTGAAAAAAACAGTTTCGGAGATTTGTTTATTATTTATTGTTACATATTGTTATATATATTTTTCAGCGATAGCTACAGTATAAGAGCAGATACTGATGGCCTACTAACTCTTGCAAACGAGAGTAGAATACTAAACATCATCAAGCTTGGGACTCAATGCAACAACTTAGTCAGCTTCTTTTATAACACAGCCGAAATACATTGAAACTGAATGTTGCATTTTGTAATGGCGGGTACTGAAACCCAAGTGCAGACAGATTAGCAACAGGAGACAAGCAGGTTTCTCAAGCAAAGGTTTATTTAACAAGAAGGTAAACAACCAATTCAGAATGGGGCAACTAAGCAAAGGTTAAAACAGAACAGAGGGGTATACTACGAAGCAAGTCTGACATAGCCAGGCTTTTTTATAAGTCGGCTCGACAAAAACTAAAGCCCGAGTCAGAGATCACGAGTATCATGAAGGTGGTTTTCAACTTTTTAGTCAACTCAGGCTTTCTGCTTCTAACTTTGTTAGAACATTCACATAAAAAGGGCGTTTAAACGCATCATGTGACTCTTCTGCACAAATTGTAATGATCACGTGCAGCTACTTCAGTCAACAGGCTGTTTCAATGGAGAACAATGAGGAATATACAAGTTTATGACAGCAAAAGGCGCTGCAACTGCAAATGTTGCAAGACAAATGCTGGTAGAAAACTGTTAAACATGCGTAATACAGTTAAAGGAGTAGCTTTGATTTTGACATTGGTGGGGACACAAAAGTGCTCCAAGGCAGCACTCCTGAAAGTTTATGTTTTTTTGTATTTGCAAGCATAATTTCACGTCATGTAGAGCTGATCAAACAAGCAAACAGTCACAGTCAGAACAAAAATTCTGTTATGGACATGTTTATAATGCATATCTGAATATCTAAAGAGAATGCAAGAATTTAATGCATTCTGCAATGTTATAGGTTAAAGCAACTAATGAAAGACAAGGAGGCAACTGCGAAGACTTCTCATCTTTATTGTTTTATTCAATATCTGTATTGTTAAGCCTCTACAGTAATGTACCCTTGAAGTA